ATATGTTGATTGTGTGCATGTATATGACTTGTTTTTAGTTATTGCACCGAGCATCTCTATTACAGGGCATAAATAACCTACTGGAGGGACATCTCCATACCCACCCACACAATCACCCACCTATGGCCAGTGACTGATTCAGTTAGTCCAGTGTGGTCTTTAGCACAATGAGAAGTTGAAGTGGATTATATTTCTAGTAGCAAACAAAGCATTACCTCATAGTGGTCTGTGAGTAAACTTAGATAACTCATAAAAAATTACAGTTTTTTGTATTGTAGGTAATAAAATTGTCCAGAAGCTAAAATACAGTCTTAAAAAAGCACAGAAAGTAAACTTGACATGAAAGAAAAACAGGAGAAGCCATGTTTGATTTCCTTATAAAAAGTTTTTGTCTTGCAATAAGTATGCAGGTCAGGTCCAGAAAAGTCTTTATCTCAAATACCAGTCTGGTATGTTACCAGATCAAATATTTTACATGCAGTACTTTAGATAGTTAGGGTAATTGGCTGTCCACTCAACTTCTCAGTTGTAGAAGATAATTATGTAAGAAGCACAGATACCATCCTTCCTATTTTTCCTCTACAGTAGAACATCACCATAAGGGACATAAATACAAACCATTGGACCCATAGTAAAATGTTTACATGCCTTTTCCTTTACTTCCTTTGCACAAAGCACACCTCTGTAAAAGTAATATTCTGCTGTATACAGATATTTTCTAGAGAAAGAGAACAAAAGACTGAGCTAGAGAATGCCCAAAGGTGGATAAAGGTGGCTTCTGCCTTTGTGGTACGGCCTTAAAGGATATGTTCACCTTTGGGAACATGCTACATGTTCCACCCTTGTTTAGGCTGGAACATGTAACTTGTTCCCATAGCTGTCAGATGTGAACACCTCGTGGTGTCACTCATTCACAGAGTTCTGCGAATGAGTGCCTACATGTCCCGGCAGCCTTAGCAGCTGTCGGCTTGTAGTTTTCAATTAACTACCACAGCCCTGTAGAGCGCCGTAGTAGTCCATTGAAGCTTCCTGTCAGAATATCTGCTTGCTAGTACATCCCATGCAGGAAGCAGATAATCTGACAGATCTGCAAGAGACTTGCATGGCATCAGCAGTCTACTGATCACTGGTGCAAGGCTTTCCAGGCTCCTGCAGACAAAAATAATAAATGCACCTTTTTTTACCTGCAAAAAAATGTGCATTTATTTTTTTTGTCAAAAAAGTGAACTTATCCTTTAAGGTCATTTCCACATGTAGACTTGGAATAATAGGAAACAATCAGTGTCCAATTTCCAAAAGACATTGGGCGCACCTTCTTTTCTATTATTCCACTTCAACGTTTGAAGAACAAGTGAAAAGATAATCCTCGGATTGCTACAGCAACATAGTAAATTTCAACGTTTGGGGAACAAGTGAAAAGATAACTGACTGCTACCATCAACATATACAATTTCAGCTTTTGAAGAGCAAGAGAAAATATAAGCCTTTGACTGCTGCAAATACACAATAAATTTAAAAAATGGAAAGCATTTTTAAGAATAATACAGACAAAAATGGTTGGTTTGAAAGCATTGTCTATCCACAAATTATTTTCTTGTTGTTTTTTATTGTTTACTTTTTGTAAATTATTTTGCTGAATTGTGTTATATAGTCTGATTTACCATATATAAGGACAAATAACAGTATATGAAACATACCAGTATGGCAGTATACAGGGGCGGACTGACAACTCATGGGGCCCCCGGGCAATAGGGGATCATGGGGCCCCGGTGTCCTTGCCCAAACTCAAAAAAGCCTATGAAAAATGTACCAGGGGCATCTCATGGGGCCCCCTACTGATCCCGGGCCCTCGGGCAGTGCCCGAGTTTCCAAATGGTCAGTCCGCCCCTGGCAGTATATAGAGCTGTGTATTCAAGTTTGCTCAGTCCTGTTGCTACAGTAATTTAGATTGCAACAGGTCTTTGCTATTGTTACAGTTTCACCCTTGCTTTTCTACAGTTTAACAAGATTTTTAGTATAAGAACAACTAGCCAGTGAAAAAGTCTGATAATCAATGTCTAATTATAACTTTGAGAAAGTCTACAGAAGAAGGATTTTATGCTCCCTGTTGGTTCACATTCAGCTGTGTTGTACATGCTCCCTTGTGGTATCCAAGTCAGTTTTGATATATTTTGCCATACTTCCTACTGCTTCCTAGAGCGTGTCAAGAGTCAGTTCTGCTGCAACTGTCTGCACAAAAAGCCTGTTAAAACTGTATAATAAATTACCTGTGGCTTCTTCACTAGTTAAACACAGCACAGTTCTCAGTTGTTTGGTTTGTAAACGCTGAAGATTTTGGCTCAGTCTGTCAACATCTTGACCAATATTCTCTTAAATGTGTGTTTCACCCTTCAGCAAACCAAAGCTACTATACTGGCCAGATACAACAGAGTATTACAATATAATATACAGTATAGGCTTGCTCAGCCTTCAGCCGACCTTGTTTGTGCTCACCTGTGGCCTGTAGGAAAATTCCTGTCTGTCTATCTATCAACTGCCTTTCCGGGAAACATGTCTTTTCAATAAAACAGACTTGTTTGTTTTATTTCCATAGCATTTTTGCAATGATCTGATTTATTAAATATGGCAATTTAATAGAGCAGTTTTAAAGAACACTAACGCTGTACTCACAGAAACCTGTCAGGTTTCATCGTTTACTTGCTACAGTAAACGGCAATCGGAACTGTCACTGTGTTGGTGAGAAAGGCAAAATGTCAAAGCACATAAGGGTCAAGCTTTCAAAAACCAACATGGTTTTGACCAAGTATAGACATTTCTAGGTGGCATTAGATAGATCAGACTTTGGTTACAAGAATGTTAGCTGTATGAATGGTAATTAACTTTCAGAGGAAAGGATCTAGTAAGAAACCCATTCCTAAAGCGTAGAGTTGTACACAGTTTGCAACAAATGGGATGTTGACTCTATACAGAAACTAAACTAGCCAGAAAAAGTGTCCTTTATGTAGCAGTTGTTTTGGCCTGGTTGGATTAGGTATATTGCTTGGGACAAAATATATTTTGGTAGTAATTAAATTAGGCAATCTCATGATTCAAATATAGCACTTTATTTTAACAAAATGTATTTTTTAACCACTTCAAGTCCAGACACTTTCACCCCCTTCCTGTCCAGGCCAATTTTCAGCTTTCAGTGCTATCACACTTTGAATGACAATTGCGTGGTCATGCAACACTGTACCCATATGATTTTTTTAGCATTTTTTTGAGACATATAAAACTTTATTTTGGTCGTATTTATTCACCATGGGGAATTTTATTTTTTTGCTATATAAATGAAAAAGTCCAAGCATGTTGAAAAAAAGTGTTTTTCTTATAAAATGTAACACATTTTGCAAATAAATAATCTTTATTCATAAATCTTGGCCAAAATGTAGTCAGCTATCTTTTTAGTAAAAAAAGAAAATAACACAAAGTAGTTTAGAACCAAAAATTATAATTTTAAAAAATTATATTTTACATTTTTATTTAATTTTTTTATATTATTATTTGTTTTTTTTTTGTACATACTGTCACCCTAGCAGTACAGTGTCACCATAGATTTTCTGTTGTTTTCTTTTACACTAATTGCTTTTTACACCCAGAAAGGCTGTAAAAGCAATAATTTCTCCTTCTCTCTGGCTGCATTCTTGCACTCATTGAGAAATACTGTGAGAGCTGTGATTTGTCACAGCTTGTCACATGGTACAAGGCTGTTATGAATAACCTTGTACCATGTGAGCTCTGTGATCATTCACAGATTTCACTAGTAGTAAGCAATGATGTCCGCAAGTGACATCTTGCTTACTACTATTCATGTGATCTCTGATTGATTGATTGGCAGTGAATGCGGAGGCCGTTTATAAACGACCACCTGCTACTGCACTGCCCCCGTCCAGCCGTTTCTGTACATGGGCCAGACGGGAAGTGGTTAATATACTGTAGTCTATAACCTAACTCAAAACTAACCATTGCTCCTATAGGCTTATTCAGAAGGACAGTGTAAGGACCTGTGTTGGCATGCTTTTGTTCCTATCAGAAGGGTTTGACAATCCCATACAAGTCTATGGAAATGCAAAAACTGCTTGACATAAGTTAAAAAAGGTAAAAAGGTTAAATGAAGGTCGAGTGCAGGTCAAATACACCTGTCAATGAATTCTCAGTAGTGTCTTATAAACCCTTACCTTGTTAAATAACCCATACAGTTTAAAATAGAAATGGAAAGGTGAAAGATTTGTGTATAGCTATAAAAACATTATATACACCTTTTTCCCCCCTTTCATGAGTGATCACATACCCTCTGTTCTCAGCTGCATAAAGCGGTGAGGGTGGATAAACAGCAGCACACTGGCCTTCCCATTGAATGGCTGGAGGAGGGGGAGGCGGGCATGTCAGCACAAGTTTGATAATTGAGGGGAGAGCACACTGAGTTCCCAGCAGAGAACTGCCCATGCTGTGCTCTCATGCCTAGTTTGGTCAGTTTTTGATAGGAAAGCATAGAGACTGTCAGGGACACCAGGGATTTCGCACAAAGGAAGTAATACGAAGAGAGGCACATAGGTATATGAAATGTTGGGTTTACATATTCTTTAAACTGCCTCCCGTCCGCCATATAGTAAAATGATGGATGCAAGGTGGTTCTCTCGTTTCTGGCAGGAAGTCATATGACGTCCTCCCACTCTAACCGTGCAAGCGTGGCTCCGGGAGCACGCAGCGGACACAGCGGGTCACCGAGCACCGGAAAGAGCCGAAGTTGTCGGCTCGGTCATGTGATAAGCTGTGTCCAATCACAGCTGATTGCATGTAAATAGGGAAATGCCTGTTATCGGCATTTTTCTCCTCACGAGCTGTCACGCTGACAGCTCGAGAGGAGAGGAGAGCATCAGCATCCCTCAGAGGGGAAATCTACACAGATCATCAGGGCACTGATGATCAGTGTGCCCTGATGATCTGTGTAGCCCCAGCAGTGCCACCTGTCAGTGTCCATCAGTGCCAGCTGTCAGTGCTCATCCATGCCACCTGCCAGTGCCCATCAGTGACACATCAATGCCACATTTCAGTGCCTACCAGTGCACATCAATGCCACATATCAGTGCCCATCTGAGCTGCCTTTCAGTGTCACCCATCAGTGCCAGTCAGTGCCACTTATCAATGCCAGTCAGTGCCACCTATCAGTGCTGCCAACCAGTGCCACCTATCAGTGCAAGTCACTGCCGCATATCAGTGCCAGTCAGTGCCGCCTATCAGTGTGCATCAGTGCCGCCTATCAGTGCCTGTCAGTGCTGCCTATCAGTGACGCCTTACAGTGCTCATCAATGCTACCTAACAGTGCCAGTCAGTGCCGCCTATCAGTGCCAGTCAGTGCCACCTATCAGTGCTGCCTATCAGTGCCATATATGAGTGCTGCCTTTCAGTGCCCATCAGTGATGCCTGTCAATGCCCATCAGTGCCACCTACCAGTGCCTCCTCATCAGTGCCCATCAGTGCCACCTATCAGTGCCCATCAGTGCCCATCATTTTAGCCTCATTAGCACACATCAGTGAAGGAGAAACATCACTTATTTACTAAATTTTATAACACAAACTAAGAAAAAAAAATTTTTTTTTTCAAAATGTTTTTTTTTTTTTCAGTGGTTTTTGGTTTGTTTAAGAAAAATGAAAAAACCCAGAGGTGATTAAATGCCACCAAAATAAAGCTCTATCTGCCACAAAAAAAATGATAAAAATTTCATATGGATACAGTGTTGCATGACCGCACAATTGTCATTCAAAGTGCAACAGCGCTGAAAGCTGGAAATTGGCCAGGCAGGAAGAGGGTATAAGTGCCCTGTAGGCTAGTGGTTAAACTAATGTCAAATTGATAATTCATATTGTGTGCGCTCCCAGTGAGAAAATCTGTGATATTAATAACTCTATTTACCCTTGGTGAACAAATATATAATCAGGGGATTTTACAAAAAATATACAGAATAAAAAATATATATATTATTAAAAATTTATATATATATAATCCACTGATGAAAATATAAATGTGGAAATAATATCCCCAGAAACAATAAGTGATAAAATATTGTGTACTAAAACATAAATATAAATAAATCAATATGCATCATGATTGGTGAATAATCAAAAAATACAAATAACTTAAAATATATATATGTACTGCAAATTAATTTGTGATATTAATGTCCTTTAAATACAGTGACTTTGTGCTTGATTAAATCTTGATTTGGTGACTTATTGTGAATCCGTGACTCTCTTTGAATCCTTAATTAGTGAAGATGTATGCTCACCTCCTTATTAGCCTGCAATTAGGCTATACACACTTGTGGTTCACCTCCTATGGAACCTGCTTAGATGGAATTTCCTCCTTTACAGATTGTAAAAACGTGGATATCCGTTATCCTCAATTAGCCCATATGCGTTTTTCCATATGTGGGGACAAATTGCCAAACATAGTGTTTTATCCTTATAAAAAGGTTTTGCTTTATTGCTCTCCAACAGGTACACTCACATAAATAGTATGCGGTATAGGATGAATTGCTCAGCTCAAGTAATCCGCCAGCCGTCTAGCCATGCACTCGCCGTCTGTAAAACACAAGTTCAATAATACATATAGATGTATATTATTATAAATTACACATGGCTCCTGTTCCATCACCTGGTTTAGTATATGTACCCTGTTTGATGAATATGGAGAGATACTATATATTGTTTTTTTCTCTCATTTTGCCACACAGATATATATACATGTCGGTCATTACCTATATACAGGTAACCATTAGGTTAGAAGAGTATATAAATGATGGTCTATGGTTAAAGGCAAAATCCGTGCCCACTTATTCATGTGGGGTAGTAGAATTATATTTAGGTGGTTTATAATGTATATTTCATTTATTTATTTATTTTTATTTTATAATTTTAATTTTATGTATTATATATATATAATTCACTATTCTATAGTTCATAAGAATGGCAGACTGTAGTTATGTTGTATAGGAGATACACACTTAGAGTATTTGATCAAAATATTCTGTATATTTCCTTATTTTATTTTATTATATATTTTTTTCTATCCATATATATACAGTACATTCTGTGTATATATTTTTATTGGCATATACATTTTATATAAAATAAATAATTGTTTATATATGGGTGTGTGTGATTCCACACATACATCTATATGTATTATTGAACTTGTTATTTTTGAGGTATTGGATTGATACATTGATGTATATAAATGATTGATTTGCATACCGCTCAGCCGTAGAGTCATGTCACTATGTATCTCCCCGGGTGGACATAGCAGTAAGGATACAAATGAAACAATTGGCACTAATATCGCTGTGCAAAGTGCCCCCAAATAATATGGCCGCCTCCATGGGATAGACAACAAAATGGCGCAGCTGGGCTATTTAAACCGGCAATGGAAGAGTGACTAACCTATCACAACCCCCTGATGAAGCCACGTGACCAGTGGCGTAACGCGTAGGGGTGGGGCTGCGGTGTCACTCGGAGAGAGAGCCGGAGTGTTTTACAGACGGCGAGTGCATGGCTAGACGGCTGGCGGATTACTTGAGCTGAGCAATTCATCCTATACCGCATACTATTTATGTGAGTGTACCTGTTGGAGAGCAATAAAGCAAAACCTTTTTATAAGGATAAAAACACTATGTTTGGCAATTTGTCCCCACATATGGAAAAACGCATATGGGCTAATTGAGGATAACGGATATCCACGTTTTTACAATCTGTAAAGGAGGAATTCCATCTAAGCAGGTTCCATAGGAGGTGAACCACAAGTGTGTAAGGCCTAATTGCAGGCTAATAAGGAGGTGAGCATACATCTTCACTAATTAAGGATTCAAAGAGAGTCACGGATTCACAATAAGTCACCAAAATCAAGATTTAATCAAGCACAAAGTCACTGTATTTAAAGGACATTAATATCACAAATTAATTTGCAGTACATATATATATATTTAAAGTTATTTGTATTTTTTGATTATTCACCATAATCATGATGCATATTGATTTATTTATATTTATGTTTTAGTACACAATATTTTATCACTTATTGTTTCTCTGGGGATATTATTTCCACATTTATATTTTCATCAGTGGATTATATATATATATAAATTTTTAATAATATATATATTTTTTTATTCTGTATATTTTTTTGTAAAATCCCCTGATTATATATTTGTTCACCAAGGGTAAATAGAGTTATTAATATCACAGATTTTCTCACTGGGAGCGCAACACAATATGAAATTATTAACTTTATGGACACAGAGGTAGTAGAGTGTTGAGTGTTAGCGATCCTATTTATATTTGGGACAGTGTGTGTCCATTTTTTTTGATTTTTTTTTTGATGATTTTGGGAGGTTAATATTGGGTGGATATAAATTGGCTCGTAAGTCACACAGATATCTGCTAATGTCAAATTGATGTCATCAACACCAACCCAAAGCCCATCAACACAGGCCCTAAAGGGAACAGTTGAGCAGTAGCTCATAGCGACCAATCACAAATAATATTTTCTCAGATATGATATATTGCCATAGATTATTGCACTTTATAATTATTATTGCACAGTTTTTACAATCATATTGAATAAGCCTGTATAAGAACAACATTTTCTTGGTCTTTCTTGAGTGTGGATTCACACATGTGCAGTGCAGATTGAAGCTCAGGTTTCACAGCTAATTGACACAGTAATTGTGGTTCGGGTCAGGTTTATATCAGGTTCAGGACCGGATTAGATCAGGTTCAGGTCAGGATTTATCCTGTTCACAACCGATGACGTGCGGTTTAGAAACAGTTCCCATCTAAGTCAATAGCCTGTAATTCACACCTGAACCGGAGCGCACTGCTCATAAATTGTACAGCACTCTTTCTACACTGAATCAGTGAATCAGACATATGTGAATAGGCACCATAGGAAGCAATGTTATTTCACATGTCATGCATGTAGTTCAAACTGCATCAAATTCGCATGTATATGAACCGGCACTGAAAGGGAAACTTTTAATAAAGCAGTGATATGGTTAAAAAAGGTTTTGCAATGAGAGCTGATCAGTCACAAAATAGCTCTTTAATTTTAACTTTAGTGCTTCCTTTAGCGCAGCTGCTGGAAATTTGCCCAATTCTTCTTCAGTGGATTGTGCCGCATCCAGGCACACGAACACGGTCACAGCTTTTTCTCAAAAAATTAGTAACTCTGGCGCTCAGAAGTAAAGTAGTGTAAGGGTGAAAAGGGATAAAAAATTATAAAATTTATAAAGTAAAAGATGATAATGGCAATATTGGCATACAAGTACTTAAAACAGGGTATGTAAATGCATTGGTGTACAATAAGTCCTTATAAGAGTCTCTCAGGTAATTTGCCTGGAATCCTTTTAGCACAAAAAGACAGCAGCCATCCTTGGAGCAAGCCAGCTCTGTATCCTGGGACAGAAGAAAAAAGACAGGAGGCGCCCGTCTGAGTGTAATAATAACACTGTATTTAATAGCAAAGGATTAAAAAACACTCACAAAGGAAGTAATAAGACAAGCTCAGCTGTGTATATGACAGATGACTGTTCCTCATAACGTCCTGCAGGCCCCACCGGTGGTTGGTACAATAGCAGCTGGGCTAATGGAGATGGTGAGAGACACTGAAGTGATCAATCCTACAGAATGGTGGTGTTGTAGAGCCGATCCAGCGGCGTTTGTGCAGGAAGGAGCCTAGTAACCAGTCTGGAACACACCAGCAGGATGTGACATCTTTTCCTCAATAAGCAGGCTTCTTTTTTGTAGTTTTTATTTTTGGAGAACTTGGATAGAGATGAGGGAATTGAGAGGGATACTCCAAAAACAGAAACTATGTACAAGTTGAGGACAATAATCTCCTTTTGATAAAGCTGAAGCAGAAGTCCTTGCAGATAGCAAACTGTGGACTTGACTTGTAGTACATACAGTTGATTCCAGAGCTGAAGCAAAAGTCCTTGCATATAGCACACAGGCTTCTTCCTTCAGAGCAACAAGAGCAGAGTCCCTTCACAGAGAACTTGATAGACTAAGCTCTCCAGAACACCAGCTGACATTCCCTTTAGCAAACTCGCCATTGACTCTCTAGCATAAGAGGGATGGTAACACCCCAAAAGTCTCTAGGAACTCTCACAGCAGTCTGGACTCACATATTGTCCAGGGGCATTCTGTGAGGTATCACCTTTCCAGGTATCGCCTTTCTCCAGTGATACCAGGCTTGATCTTCAGCACACAGACCCTCAGTCAGTTCTCTTTAGCTTCAGCATCCAGGCCCTCAGGTCACCCACCTGAAGCCTCACATACAGCAGACACATGGCAGTGTTGCCCTGGAGGGC